TTTCGACCTCTAGATCTTCATCTGTATCATGGTGTAAAAAGACCTCAGTCGTAGGCTTCTTTTCTATAGGAGGCGGTATAGTGTTTTGAGAAACCATCTTAGAGGTACTCTCCCCAAAAACAACGCCAAATGTTTCGGGTTTTTTATGTCCTACGGGAGAGTTACATTACCAATTAAGACTGGATTCCCTTGCCGACTGTACCTGCAAAACAACGAAAGCTCCTGTTGGTCGGAGTTCCGCCTCCAACAATCAAGTTAGAACCGGTTGAAGTGAGGTAAAAAGTGCGGAAAGTAAAAGTAGATCTTCTCGGATCTCGAGATCAGGTGTTTTCTCTAATGTGAGAAAATTGATTGTGTTGTAATAAATGAACTTGTCCCCAAATTAGGGTAAATCTCCCTATTTATAGGGTCATTGGAATTTATGCCCTTAGGTCATTCTGTCCTAGATCAATGGGATGCGCCGTTTTGCGGCTTTCTCGGGAATTGGGCCCGGAAGGCCATCTTTTTCCTTGCTGATTAAGAGTGTCACGTGTCAGCTGGGGATTGGTTCATTTTGAACCTCTTTTAGGGTGACATGTGTCACCTTATGATTGGGCCACGTGGCCTAGGTAATTTTACCCAAAACAAATTGTGTTGCCATTCTAGAACACGCAATCCATTTCCATGCTACTGCACTTGTGTAACAAAAGGTATCTCATTTAAACAATCAAAGTAGCTAACTATCTTATATAAGTTTAAAATAATTAGCTTATCAAGGCATGTAATGTATAATGTAAAAGACATAACGAACCTAGCAAATAAACTAAACTAAACAATACTAGCACTAAACAAAGCAGCAAAACAACAAAGTTGCCCCTAAGAAAAGACTTACAGCAGAATTTTCTCCTCCACCCATTGCAAGCTCATAACTCTACAACAAAAAAAATCCAAAAAAAAAAAAGCTCATAACTTCACAAGGAACCAAACCCTTTATTGCTCTGGCGATGTAAAAATTCATAGACCAACAATAGTAAAAAAGAAGAGCAAGGCAAAACCCATTTAACCAAGTTGAGACTTCACAAAAGCAATAAGCCAATCAAAATTCCAAATATTGTTTAGTAAAACAAAAGCAGGTTAACGGTGCCATTATGTTAGGCAGCTATCCCAAATTGAGATCATGAAGTCAAAGAGAACACATGGATATTATTAGATCCATTGTAAAATTTGGGAATGATAATTAGGCAACAAGTGTATCAGTTTTTCAGCGAGTTCAAGTCCAGTAGCATAATGTTTGTATATAGTCCATGAGAACAAGAACCATGGTAAGCATGGCAAGCTAAGTATGTGCAAGCTGTTGAGTTCATAATTTTAGAGGTAGATTATTCAAGCAAGTTAATAAGTGTTATGTTTTAATAGTCGGTAATATGAAAGTGTAGTAATTCAAAACTCTAATGTTCTTAACTAATACTAGTTAAACCCAAATCTACATTTCACATTACCTCTAATGTAACTTCCATGGAACTTAGCTGTGTATATTGCATATGAAAGGAAACAGATCAACCCTCATGTATTTGCTATACAAGGCAGTACAAGACAAGCAAAGCCAAAATACACCTAGCTAAAACACAGTGGGTATTTAACAACACCAGGTACATCTTACAAGAAAGTACGCATGCGCCATTTTCTCCACACAAAACATATTATATCCATCTAATGTCAATTTAAAAGAGCCTCTTAACATGAAAAAAGGAGCCAATCCCATTTCCCAAAACTAAAGCACGGTTTAAAAGAGAGAGAACAATCTTACCCATTATGTAAACTGGCAAACCGTTGGGTAATAAGGCGCTTCATCAACAAAAGCCTAGCAACTTTCTTCTCCCAATTGCATTTTTCCAAAGACTTAGCTGTTTAAACACCCAAAAAGAACAAAATTAAACTAGTTTGTATAAAGCACAACAACTATAGATAAATAAATGTAACAAATTTTAAATCAAGCATAATTACGAACACAAAGAAATTGGATTAACATTGGGCACTCCTAATCCTAATACGTTATTAGCTCAAAATTAGCTCGAAATCCCCTTAGATTAACATTGGACACTCCTAATCATACGAACGCGTAATTAGTTCAAATTTAGCTCAAACTTAGCTCAGAATTAAATCCCCTTAGATTTACATTGAACACTCTTAATAAATCGAATATGTAATTAGCTTTAAATTAGCTCAAAAATAGTTCAAAGTCAAAATTAGCTTAACATTAGCTTAAAAAAATTCCTAAAAATTGTTCCTTGCTAAGCTTCTTAATTCTTAATTAATTCCCAATTCATTGCTACAGAAAAAGGCATAATCAGCCATGAAGAAGCTTAGCAAGGAATCATGGTTTGAATTTCCCTCATTGTCAATCCAGCAGTAGTAAAAGAGCTAGCAAATTTTAACACCAGTCAGCTAGGAACAAACCTAACCAACACGTGTCGCTTTAAGGAAAAACAAACACCAACCATGTGCACATGCACATTTTTTGGAGGGCAAAGTTGTCCGCTCACTGTAGATTAGCGAAGCAAAGGCAAATGTAAGGGTAAATTTGGTAGGACACTATAGATAAGGATTTTAGAATTTTTGGGCACTTCTTATTTGGTTCTTAGTGCTTTTATAGGTTAGGTTTCTGTAATGTTCTTTCGGGGTGCACCAAGAGCATGGTGCACCTGGGTGTACTATAAAAACTTCATATTGGACTGGTAGAAAAATATGTGTGTGTAAGGGGTCTCCCTCCTCTCTGCTCTCTTTATCTCATTTTTTTTATTATTTTATTGTTGAATTTGCTGAATTTTTATTTGATTTATGGATTGGATGAGATATTTTTATTTGGGTGATTTATTGGATTTATGAATTCAATTAACATGATTTAGTGATGTTGTTAGGCTCTAATTAGTGTTGATCGAGTAGAGAGATTATTTTTACTTAAACCAGTGTATAGTATTAAGAAGCGTAATGCCAGATAAGACAAAGTGGAAATCAAATGAAAAACAAAAACACTACTTTACTCTTGAATAATTAACTCTATTAAATCAACTAACTCAATCTATTAAAATTATCTGCTATTCAAAGGTAACATTAAACCAAAAATTCAACGTTACAACAATAGGTAGATTTCGACGATTCGAAATAGTATTTCCTTTGTTCCAAAATTTGGTATCTATATATACGAGTATTCTATTTTGGACAACCCAAAATGCCATGCATGTTTCTATTCCCTTTTTTTTACGGCTATTTCACCAAATGCCACTGAGTAATTGCAAAATTCAACAAATGCCATCCAACTTTTCAAAATTCACCAAATGCCACCGAGTTTTAAGAAAATTCACCAAATGCCATTAATGACTAACGGCTGTTAGTTGACCCACCACTTGCCATGTGTCAGCTTCCGATTGGCCCATTTAAAAAATTAAACAAAAATTTTAAAAAATAAAAAAAAAACCAAAAATATTTTAAAAAGTTAAAAAAAATAATAATAATGAAAATTAAAAAAAAAAAACCACCTTGCTGCCACCAGCCAAACCCCCTTGCCGCCGAAGCCAGCTTCGGAAGGCGTGTTGGCGTCCGGAGACCCCCACCCCTTTCCCCGTCGCGCCACCCAACCTAGCGCAAACCACTAACCCAACCTTCCTCCACCACCCCGAAACCCCACCCCCCTTCAATTCCTGCACGACGGTGAGAGAGAATGACAATAACAAATGACGATGAGGCGACTGACGGAGGCAGGTGACGGTGACAGGAAGCGACGATTGAACACGAATTACAATGAGAGAGAATGACAACGACGAACGACAGCGAGAGTATGAGACCGACGACCGACGAGTATTTACTTGAACACGAATTGACGAGAATTGAACGACTGAATGATAACGTTAACAAAAAAGAATTCAACACAAATTACGGGAAGCGAAGAACACGAATTACGGTGGATTCAAACCGACGGCCGACGTTTCGTGGGTGGGTTAATGGCGGACTGCTGGAGTTTCGGGGGTGGGGTTTCGCGGGTTAGGGTTTTGGGCTAGGGTGGGTTGCGCGACGGGGAAAAGGGAGGGGAAGGGGTGGGGGTCCGCCTGCCGCCGACGCGCTTTCCGGTGCTGGCTTTGGCGGTAAGGGGGTTTGGGTGGTGGTGGGCAGGTGGCAGCATTTTGGTGGTTGGGTTGGGGTTTTCTTTTTTCTTTTTTTTTTTTTTTCAATTTTTTAGTTTTTTAATTTTTTAAAAGTTTTTGGTTGGTTCTTTTTCATTATTATTATTTTTTTAACTTTTTAAAATATTTTTGGTTTTTTTTTTTAATTTTTTTAAAATTTTTGTTTAATTTTTTTTAAATGGACCAATCAGAAGCTGACACATGGCAAGTGGTGGGTCAACTAACAGCCGTTAGTCATTAATGACATTTGGTGAATTTTCTTAAAACTCGGTGGCATTTGGTGAATTTTGAAAAGTTGGATGACATTTGGTGAATTTTGCAATTACTCAGTGAAATTTGGTGAAATAGCCGTTTTTTTTTTTTTTTTTCACTTAGAAGTATTGCCAAATCAAAGTGTCAAGTACAATGAATTTAGGAACAGATGGAATAGTACTCCCTCCGTCCCTTAATGATAGTCCCTTTTAGTGAAATTTCACGCGAATTAAGAAAAATAAGAAGTAGTAAAAGTATATTGGAAATGTAAATTTACATAAGGTATGCAAAAAAGTAAAGAGAGAAAGTAATAAAATTATTTGAAAATGCAAAATTTACATGGAAAAGTTGAATTTGCACAAATATTGTTGCATATTGGAGGGAATTTTGGTAAAAAAAACTAACAATAATGGTTGTTGGAAAAAATAAATGAGATGAACATTTTAGGACTAAAATTTGACCAAAATGAACTATCATTAAGAAACGGAGAGATTAATTAGACAAATTTCAAACTCAAACTCAAACTCAAACTCAGATAGATTTTGTTGTAGTTGACACCTCATATAAAGCAGTGTAACTCCCAATCTTTCTACTAGTATCTGTCATTTTTCTGTTGTCCAGCATCAACAACACCCCAAGACATGAATTACACAAACCCCACTCCAAATGTCCTTCTTTGTCTTCCCCTTTAATATTTATTTATGCCTTTTTACCAATCTTCATTTAATCTCAAAATTAACACTATTCACATAAATTCCAGAAGTTTTTGGTAGGGTTTGTTATTCCCAGAATTTCATATCTTACTGTACTTGGATTCCCTCATTGATTACATTAGAACTAGCACCGAATCGCACAGTTTTCCAAATTCTGCTCAACAAAAAAAATGTTGACAAGTTTGAAGAAAAATCACGGAGATTGGTTTTCTGGTAGTTTGAATAGAGAATTGGGTTTAACTCAGCCTAGAAGCTTCACTCGTCGCCTTTCGGCGTCTCAGGTGATTATCTTTTTGTTCGTGAATTTATTAATTCAATCATTTGAATGATTTTTAGTGTATGATTTACTAGCTGATTATTTATATTGATCAAAACTTATCTTTGATTTTTATTTTTTGATGTATTATTTTTAGTGAAAAGATTGTTATAGTTTGTGAATTGGATGAATAAATTTTGTGTGTTAGATTGCTTTTCATAAGGAAGAAGTGTGTTTGGATAAGATTGTTAAGTGGCACACTTTTCAAACACATTGAGTCAAATAACCAATCTTTTATGGTGATTATTGGCAAGATATATATATTTTTTAATCATTTGGGTATGTTGATGCTCTCATTTAAAAGAAAGAAGAATCCGATTTTAAATTGCAATTTTAGGTATTAAGGCCTATGAGTGGATCCAAAGCTTCTCCAATGGCTTTAGGAAGGTTCATAAGTATTGAGTTGTTTGAGCAAAATGCTGAAAATGAAAGCCCTTTTTTTTTTTTTTGAATTGTTAAAAGGTTTACGTAGTTTTGCTTGTTTAATTCGGAAGCAAAAGATGGCTTGGTTGCTTTTCTTACACTTAAAAAGAGAAGATTGTCTTATAATTGTCTTCTTTCTCAATTAATTGGAAAGTGAGGTTCCTTAATAACAAGTTGGGGATTGGCTTATATGCCTAATGAAACCCTCTTGAGTATGTCTCGAAGATTTACATTTTATAATTTTCTTGAGTGAAAAAAATATTTTTTCTTGCTCGCTTCCCCTCCCCCCACAAAAAAAGTTAAACAGTGAATGGATTCCACTATGAGGGTCCAATACTCAATGTTGAATTGAGAAAAATTTGAGTTATTATGATTGGTGTTCCATTAAGGGGTGTCTAAAGACAACTTTTCTAGTTGGGAGGGTTAGGTGTGTGCAAATGGACTTGTCTAGATCTTGCTACTGACAATTTTCACACTTGTTTGTAGTCATCATTGTTTTATAAGCTTATCTAAAGCTTACTAAGACAGGATATACACTCCTTTAGCACTGTAATTTTGTATTGAATAATACGTTATATAAAAGATAAATCCTAGTTACTGCAGATTTGTAACTTGCATAATATATTGCTGGTTGCCTTGTTTGTCTGACTGCTGCTGCACTTTTATGTAGGGGCTTGTTCAAAAACTTGACTTGTATGCGAAGTTGGTTGGTCATGAGGGTTGCGTCAATACTGTGGAATTCAATTCAACTGGCAAGACTTTGGTTTCAGGTTCTGATGATAAACAAGTTATCTTCTGGGATTGGGCATCTAAAAGTAAAACATTTGCATATCCATCTGGTCACTTAGAGAATATTTTTCAGACCAAGATAATGCCGTTTAGTGATGATCGGATAATAGTCACATCTGCAGCAGATGGACAGGTAATTCTAGCACTTGGGGAATCTACTCATCTTAGCATTTTCTTTTCTTTTTTATAATCATTCTCTATCTCTAGTGTATCTTATCATGTTTTGCTTAGTTGCTTGCACACTGAACAGCTTTATTTGTGTCTTATTGCAATAAGTTTATTAGCTCTTAATTAAAAGCAATAAAAGGGGGAAATGATTCAAATGGATGTACCACGAGAGAGCATGGATAAGTTGCCACAATTATCTGCTTTATAATTCTCAGCATTTGGTTCATTTCTATAACTTTAAAACAACAACACTTACCGGGTGCAGAAAAATTATGGTTTTGGATTCAATAATTTAAACTTTGCAATGACTTGGTTAGAGGGTGTTTAGCCAAATTTCTGAAATAGTTCTAAAGGCGAGAAACAGACTTCAGGCCAATTGGGGGAGTTTTCATAGAAGTAGAAGCAGTTTGAACAGAAGCCCACAATTGTTTCCAGCAGCTTAAGATAAGCATAATTTTCTCCTTCATATATTTTTCAGTTACCTTTTGAAGTTTATAAAATAGCTCTATAAGACTATAACTCACATTGACACAAAATTTTCAATCCCAAAATAGCATGTCTTACTCATCCAATCCTAATTTTTTGCACTTACTTACCATGTCCTTGCATTGTAAAGGCAAGAATTTCCTAGGCTTAGATCTCAAGAATTAGGTGACTTTTGCTAGGATTGACTGATGCTGTGAGAATGAGTCCCATGGTGGCCTATCAACAATTGGTAAAACCTGAATTGTCTGAAATTGCTAGTAAAATTACTGTAACTACCTATAAGCAGCTTCTTAGCAGAAAGGGTATGAAGCAGTTACTCAAGAAACTGACTCAATGTTGTGACTTGTCTCTTGTTTCACAAGAAGATACAAAGAAGGCCCTTATAAAACATTTTTTTATTTTTTATTAAAGTAACCTTGAGAGCTCTCTCTTTAGATGATTTTACAATGAGACTTGAGGATTTGTGAAGTGGAGGGAGAACCCAGAGGAGGGAGGTCAAACATGGCATGAACTTCTAAAAAGCCAAGATTGCCCTAGACTCATAAGGATGTAGAGTTCTACTTTCCTAGTCAACTATAACTCTGCGATGCTTTCTGTTTTTTATTAATTTTGTTTAGTATATGTAGCATGTATGTTTTAAAGTTTAAAACTTGAAACTTTGAATGTTTTTTTATCATGTATTTTGAATCTTGAAATTTTAAGTATATTAAGATTAAGAACTTTCTATGAGGTAATGAAAAATTAGAAATTAACATACTCTATAAATTTTATTTATTCCAGTTAAATTGCAGTTTATTAATTTAACTATAGTTACCAAGAAAACTATTATAGAAAACAAGACCCATCATACTTGATTCACCCAGGGTAGTGTTCAGCGTATTTGGTTTCATTTCGAATGGAGATTCATTGGGGTATATGCAAAGTAGAAGATGAGTTGATATAAGGGTTCATGAGCAACCAGTGGCACCTGCAAGCTAGTTTTTATGTTAGTAAAGCTTATAAGTGGTCCTGTATGCAATTGGGCATAATCCAAATAAAGTTTGGTCTAATGGGCTTTAGAATAGATATTGTTTTCCTAAGCACAAATTTATTTGCTGAGTTGATGTTCATGGGTGTTTGTAAACTAGACTCAGGATGAATGTCTTTATTGTGGCGTGGAGATGGAAACTCAAAAGAACCAATTCTTTGATTGCTGTTAAAGTGCAATGTGCAGAAGATAGGAGTTAAATTTCCTACAGCAGACCTGGGACAAGACACCTTGACCCGGTGCAAGAAGAGATACAAAGTGACCGTCATTTGCAAGCTGCTGGCTTCCATAGAAGTATTGGTTTATGCAATTTGGCAGGTTGGAAATGGAGCTCTATGACATAAAAAAGTAGGTACTGGGTAAGGTTGATAAATTGTGCAAAATTAATATAATGTAAAGCTGAGAGTTGGAGAAATATTTTGGTAAAGTAATTACTAGTACCAACAAGGATTGTTTTAATCCCCTGCTATCGGATATACTCAAGGTTTGTACAGGCCTGCTAGTGTTGTTTTCCTTGGATCAGGAGTCTCGTCTTAATGTCAAGGGGGCAGTAGGTTGTAATTTGTTTTCTTTGGTGATCAATATAATCTATCATAATATGAATTTTAAAAAGGTAGACTCTTATAGGATATTGGGTAAGAAGAATAAGTAACTGAGTGCCCCAGCTTGAGTCTGTCTAGCGGGCTTTATAACAAATACCTATCGTAGTCCAATGTTCCTATATTAATCAGGTTTTTACGCTGGAAAAAAGGAATAAAAATACGCATCTACATCCATTGTTTCATATTATTTCTTGGGTTTTGATTGCTTAACGAGGAAATTTGAGCTTGAGACTTGGAGCCAAAACTTGATGCTTGTATTGCTTAAAATGTAATTCATACAAGCCCTTTGGTTTATATTGGATTTTAGAGTTCATAAATAGGTAGTATTTAATGACCTTTAGTTTTATACGTCCTCTATTCCCAAATATTGCAGCATGGGGATGGGACACGGATTTTAAGAAGAGGGAAGAGATAGAGAAAAGATAAGGACCCATATGATAAGGAGAGAGAAAGAGAGGAATAATGATAGGGACCTATGTGATAAGGAGAGAGAAAGAGAGAAAACATGTGTAAATAGGGAAATGTTGCAATATTTATGAAACTTCTTAAAATGGTAATTGTTGCAATATTTTTGGAACGATGGAAGTATAAGATTCTAGACCTAATATCGTACTTATAATGTATATTAATGTGGTAGGTAGTCTAGGTACCAAATTGTGCCAGATGTGAGTATTTCTAGGTTTGCATAATACAGGCCTTATTAAAGAGAAATGAACCTTGAAACCTGTTTCTGATCATCAAATCCTCCTTTAAGCCCCCAGAATGCTTTTGATCTAATCTACCAACATCTATTGCTTAATTATATCTTCAGGTGAGAGTTGGTCAAGTCTTACAGGATGGAAGTGTTGATACAAAAAGGTTAGGGAAGCATCGAGGAGCTGTCTTCAAACTTTCTGTGGAACCTGGAAGTCCTTACATCCTTTACAGCTGTGGTGAGGATGGCTTTGTTCAACATGTATGTCCAAAATGCTTATAGCAGTATGTAATCTTTTCAATAGCTGGCTGTTATATTATCAATGTTTCCTTTTCCCAATTTGCAGTTTGATCTGAGAAGCAATTCTTCCACAAAGCTCTTCTCTTGTTGCTCCTTTATAGTAGGTGACAGGTCTGATTTTTCAAGTAGAGTCCGATTGAACGGAATTGTGAGTGATCCGAGAAATCCTAATTATCTTGCTGTCGGAGGCTCTGATGAATATGTGCGTGTATATGACATGAGAAAATGCCATTGGGATGCCTCCAGTAATTTGGATAGACCAGTGAACACATTTTGTCCTCATCATCTCAAAGAGAGTGGCAATGTTCATATCACAGGGCTAGCTTACTCAAATGCAGGCGAGCTGCTTGTCTCGTATAATGATGAGCTCATATACTTGTTTCAAAAATGCATGGGAATGGGAACAAATCCAAGGTTAGTATCTTCTGAAGAGCTTCAGAAATTGGAAGAGCCACAAGTTTTTTCTGGACACAGAAATTCACAAACAGTTAAAGGCGTCAACTTTTTCGGCCCCAACGATGAATTTGTTGTTAGTGGTTCAGATTGTGGCCATATCTTCATTTGGGAAAAAAAGGACTCAAAACTTGTACGTTTGATGGTCGGAGATAGACATGTAGTTAATCAGCTTGAGCAGCATCCATCCATGCCTGTCCTTGCCACTTGTGGTATCGAAAAAAGTGCAAAAATCTGGTCTCCGGTTTCTAAGATAGTTCAGCCCCTGCCCACTGATGTAAACGAGGTTAATATCCCTTCCTATCCTGGCTCTTTCTAAGTTTGGGTGTTGGATATTGCCTTTTACATATATATATATATATAAACCATTGATTTTGTGTGCAGATTATGGAGTCTAACCGACAAGGGAGAGAGGATCATTCGCGGGTGACTCTCACCCCTGATGTTATAATGCATGTATTACGACTGCAGAGACGACAAACACTGGCTTTTGTTGAAAGGCGGCCCAGGAGAGGTAACGGTGAGAGTGAGGATGACGATAGTGAAGGAGAAGCTTATATATTAAGGTTTTCTGATAGGGATGCTGCCACAGATGGTGATCCTAGAGAATGCAACATTAGCTAGTTTTCCATCTGATAGAGAAGATGTCACTTTCTTCCGTTGGTGTTATTTTTTCTCCATTTCTATTTCTCTATGCTGGTCACTACTTGCCTGTAAATTGTAATGTGTAATGCGCTTGTAATATATTATGAGGGTTGTTTGCTATCCAAAAAATAAAAAAGGTGATATCAGTATCTTGCGGAAACAGATTGTATTATACTGCTGATTTTTATTAGTGTCTTCCAGCATCCCAAATCCATTTGAATATGCAATGAGTAATGCAGAATAATGCTACGATTCTCCGTACACAGAGTACATTGGAGGAAGGTATGGTAATGCTTGTCATTCTTGTATTAGGTGTTTCTCATTTTTGGAAATATTACTCATCCCAATATAATTCGTCTTTTTGAAGCCATTGAGGTTGAGATTATTTAATTATTATTATTGTAATTTTTACAGATTAATGTTTTTTTTTTTTTTTTTAAATTAAAATTTTTATTTTTAATGGGTTTTATAGATAGAGGAAAGAAAATTCTTGTTATTGGAGTATTTTGATGGTGCTGAGACTGCTGACCTTGGAGCTTACATTCATAGGCATGGTAGAGTTACAAAACTGCTGCTAGGCACTTCATCAAACAGCATGGTACATTTATTTTTGTTTCTAAAATCTTGCTTTAGTTGGTAATTTTTGTTACAAATATTAGTTTTTACATACTTAAATTTTTGCTATTGTAGTCATTATTCAATTTGGTACTAGATTTAGTCCAAACATAAGCAAACTGGAAAAGCTGGTGGTAATTTTTGAAATTCGTATGAAGATTTATTGCTGATAAATTCATATTTATCCCTCCGTTTGATTCTATGCAATATGTGAAAATCTAATTTTTAAAATGGTTATATTTGATTTCGTAGTGAATTGGTAATTTCAGCTTATAGTAGAGGGATGCTTTAATTTCTGTTATTAGATTAAGCCATTTGGATTAGAACTTTTAGGTACGAGTTACTGGAGAACTTTTTTGGTGTCAGGTCTTATAGTCTTAATGGGAGCTTTAGTGCTTGTAAATAATATAATTGCTGGTGTCACACTGAAGGTTGTCATGTACTTGACATATAACTTAGTAATCTTGTTAATTTATTTTATTTCAAACTGATTGTTGATGTAGTAATTAGGCTGGTTCTTTTATGTTTTTTTTTTTTTTGGATTTTCTGATGCAAGTTCTGAGTTTAATTGATGATTAGTGTAATCCACATCCTCAACAACAATAACAACAAAGCCTTAGTCCCAAAATGATTTGCAGTTGGCTAACATGAAACGTCATAAGAAATTGTACGATATAAAGAAAGGGACAATAAGATAATCGTCATCGGTACAAGTTGTTGTTTGTCTTGTAACTCTGTTGAGATGATTCCTTGACACCAAGAAATGTATTTGTTGATTTGAAATTCAATCCTTTTATGGTTGGCCTAGATATTGACTTATTGAGAAGCTAGAATAAGGTATGAGGCTCATTTGTAGGAGGTTTGTTGATCCATCTTGGTAACATGTGTTTAAAAGCTTAATTGTGATATTATAATAGGCTGACTGATGACTTTTAGGATTTAATAGTGACTTCATATACCTTTAGATTATTATTTAGGTTTGGAATATTGGAAGATAAATTAATTAGACATTTTTTTATTTTCTGTGCCATGGTTTGTGGGCATATATTCTGAATTATCTTATTTGGTTGATATTTGTATGTTTTTTTTTTTTTTTTTTTTTTTTTAATCTTATCGGTAATTAGCAAAGTTATCAGTCCCTGCTAAGTTGCTAACAATGCAAATTCGCAAAGTTATCTCCATTTCCTAATTTAATGAAATTTTAATGACCTTTTTCATAATCAATTTTTTTTTTTTCCGTAGATTTCATTGCTCATAGATGTTCAGCATTGGGTTTTTTTTTCCCTTATTTGTTTATTGCTTCTAAAATTATTGGCTTATCGCTATTGTTAGTTTAATCTTGATTCTACTTTGTGTAATCCTTGACCAATCTTGAGAGCTGTCTTCTGTAGCAGTAAGAAGAATGAGGAGCAGCCTGGACGTTAATGCTCTAACATGTCTCTCCAAAGATGATTTTTGGGTTCTCACTGCCATTGAGATGGCCATGCGCAATGTAATCACCTCACATCTCTCCTATAGATGCCAAAATACTTGCAAATTTTTGTGTGTGTGTGTGTGTTTTTTTTTTTTTTTTTTTTTTTTTTTTTTTTTTTTTTTTTTTTTAAAAATAAAATAATCTTACAAGGTGTTTTATTCACTTTGAATGTTGCAGCATGAAACCATCCCTTCTAAGCTCACTCAGGTAATTATTGCTCCAATTCTCAGTTTTGATGGGTGCTTTGTATTTATAAACTAGATTAGGTCCCGTGCCATATACGGTTATTTTTAGTATTATTATAAAAAAAAAAAAAAAAAAAAAAAGTGTGAACTAAACTATCAAAATTTTTACTAAAATGAAACATAACCATGAAAAAACTGATTAGCTAAATTTGTACTCTAAAGTTAAGCATTTGAGCATATGATTATTTTATGTATTTCAATGTGGTACTATTAGTGTTATAAAAAATTTCTTATTAATTAAATGAAAACTTTTAAAGCTACTAACCCTGTGAATAAATTTTCTTTTTGCACACTATTAAAATCACTCTATTATTTCATCCAAAACCATGCAACCTAAAATAATATTCTTCCATGTCATTCTAACAACATATTATTTCTTATTAAACTTTTCTCCTACTATCAACTCTAATTAAAATATCAACATATTTAAATCATATTTTGGTAATATATATATTATATAATAATTCAAATTAATAGTTATCAACCGATAAATTATATAGTTATTGATTGATGTTTTTACGTAGATATTGATTATCAAGCTAATTTGTATGACAAAAATAACAAATAAAAATCTTATGTTGATAATCTATATGATATTTTTCCTAAAGAAGTTTTTTTTTTTTTTTTTTTTTTTTTTTTTTTTTTTTTTTTTTATAATTAAAAATCTAGATCATAATTAATTTTTTGACAATTAAGGTTACTTACCTTTTAGTCAACTTTTTTTTTTTTTTTTTTTTTACCTCATTTAAACTTTATTTAAAAGAAGATTTTCTCCAAGAAAATAAAATAATATATAGTTAAGGAGACTCAAGGCAATGACACGTGTCATTGCTAGTGTGTCTTTTAGTATATATTATTATTATTATTGATTATTGATTTTGATGGGTGGTTTGTATTTGTTTGTGATTTACTAGAGATGGTAATATTTATAAAGGTATTGAGAAATTGGCTTAAGCACAAGCTGCTGCATGATGACACTTCTAAATGTTGGTCACTCTGTTCCTTTGATCCTTAAATAATTATCATGTAATCTCTTGTACTCTTCGGTATAATTTTGTGTGCACTGGTTTTTTTAGATGATTGTTTTAGGTTAACATATCTTAGGTATGATTTCCCTGCCCTCAAAACATTAGTCAATCATGGTGTCTTCAATGCAGTTTGCCGCCAAATTTGGGCCAAAATGAAATCTGGTAAAGCATGTTGATATATTAGGCTTACTGCCCTATTTTTTCTTTTGGCGATGCTGTTTTAACTTTCCTGGTTGTTGGATATTAAATTTTTTTTTTCCTTTTATATATCAACCACTTATTTTGTGTGCAGATTATGGAGTCTAACCGACAACGGAGAGAGGATCATTCGCGGGTGACTCGCACCCCTGAGGTTATAATGCATGTATTACGACTGCAAAGACGACAAACACTGGCTTTTGTCGAAAGGCCGCCCAGGAGAGGTAACAGTGAGAGTGAGGATGACGATAGTAAAGGAGAGGCTTATATTAAGGTTTTCTGATGGGGATGCTGCCACAGATGGTGATCCTAGAAAATGCAACATTAGCTAGTTTTGCACTTGATAGAGAAGATTTCACTTTCTTCCGTCTTCCTGTATCTTGGTGTTATTTTCTCTCCTTTTCTCTTTCTCAATGCTGGTCACTGCTTGCCTGTAATCTGTAAAAATTGAAAAAAAAAAAACATAAAATTTAGAAAATCATGTGGCTCCTTTTATTCTATTGAATAATACTATTTTATTAGAATCAAACACATTATTATCATTTAGCTGTTTATAATTAATGACCATCCTAGCTTTACCTCTTTTTTCTTCTGCATGATTTCTTACCATGAATGCTAGACTATTATGAGGACTCTTGCTATTCCTAATTAAATTCTTATTCAACAATTCTTTTATTTGCTCATAAAATTCTAATATATCTTGATAGGTATAAACCATTTGTGTTACTCTTATAATTTTATTAGGATTTGTTAGGTTATCTTAGCAAATTTCTTATCCTTTTCCCAGTGTTTTAATGGATTTGTTGAATATAATTTTACACATAATTTTTCTTGCTGATTATCCGATCTCTTAATGTTGATTCACACTCAGAAATTCTAAGTGCAACCTCTCGTTGTGTAGGTGTAACCCTATCACCACGCTGGTTGCGCGTAAATTCCGTAGTCTGATGAGTTTAAGCTTTTGTTATTTTCTGTATAGGAACATAATGACCATTAATAGTAAATATTATTTGATCAATAGTTTGAGTGCATGGAGAGTATAGTCTTTGAAAGTTATTTCCTATTATCATATCATGACTAGGTCGATCAGTTGCCCATAAAATAGGAATAACACAATGAACACCTCCAAATTCTACTGGCAATTCCTCTATTATTTCCGTATGCAACATAACACTGTTATTAGCAATTCTTACCTGCATAGGATTTTTAGCTTTTTTCCACATAAATTCTGGAATAATGACCTTTTTCCAAAGCATGTAGAACAACCACTATCAATATATGCACATAATTTATATTTATTATAATCTTCAATGCATATATCAGTTGGAATATAGATGCTATTAGGATTAGTACTGGATATTTCATTATAGGCTTCCATTTGCATATTAACTTCATCTTCATATACTGGTTCACTAACAGTTTTGGTTTTATATCTAATCACCTTTCTGTTTTCAAAAATAGGATTATTTGGTTCCTCATTTATCTCTAAATTAGAACATGAACCAATATCAATACTATGTCTTGTTGGTTGTTTCAAGCCTTTTCTTAATTTCATATTTTCATTTAGCTTCTTTATTATAGCTAATATTTCTTCTTCATCTTCTTCTGGCTTTTTATCAACTCGTTTTTTCATCTTTATTGTATTTGAATTCTTTCTACTTAGACTTGGTGATCTAAGACTCTACTTCTCTGTAATTTAGGTTTTGTAGTTATCTCAATATGAAGTAATCCTGATTCATCAATTAACAACTTACTTGACCTATTTTTTACTGCAGGATTCATGAAGAATTCTTTCCAAATTTTTTCAATTTCTATTTCATTAAGATTTACCTTTATAGGGACAATCTTCTTCTTAGGACCTCCTCCTTGCTCATATTTCTGAGCATCTACCATTTGTTTCTTGAAAGTTGAATCTATAGTGTTTACCAACTTATAGACTACCTTCCTCTTTAAATGTATAGGTCAAGTTCCTTTATGCATGTTTACTCCATCAATTAATAACTTGATTGCCAGAAACTTAGGAGCATGATGCAAGTCTAAGCATGGAGAACTTCGAAGATTTGCTTATCATGCATCAAGATAGCTTGTCTCTAAACATTGATTCAAGCCAAGCGTTGCATGGACACTTTCTTGGATACCAAAGCAAAGCTACGGTTTGCTTGGTGGCTTTCTTGGAGCCTAAACTAGTTTCTTTAATTTTCTTACTTAGATTTTGCTTACAAGATTTTACCTTTCACTTGAAAAGGTTTTTCTTGGTTTAAGCATTAGGATCTATAATCTTTTTATTAGTTTCTTTAATTAGTTAGTGTTAATTGATTTTAGGCGTGTGGTCTTGTTTGGTGAGCAAGCTTGTTCAGGTTGTTGAAGCCTTCTCCAAGGGTTTGAAATCTTATCCAAGGGTTTGTTAGAGTTTTAGTTGGGTTAGATAACTAATCAAATTCTATCTTATGTGATTAGTTACCAAAACCGTGTGCTTGCTTGCACTCCTAGTCGGTTTAGTTGTCTAGTTTGATTAGTATTGAATTAGGGATTTGTCCTAATCTTCCTAGGAGAGTCTAGCTTATAAATAGGCTTGTAAACACACGAAATAATCAGATTATTATGCATTGCTTTTGAGTTTAAACACTTAAGTTTTAATTGATTGTGATCAATTGCTGTTTTGCTTGTTTTAGTTAAAACATTCATTTAGGTTGATTGACTAGGTGGATCTTAGTTGATTAATCTTAGTTTTTGTTTAGTTCTTGGTGGATTTCCTGTAGAGAATTAGATTTAAACATATCCCTAGTGTTTTGTTGATTTTCGGATCAATAATTCACATCATCTTGGTATCAGATTCCAGGTTCCGGTAGAAAAAAAAACTGGTAAAGTTTGGCTTGAAATTTTTGAGTGATTCTTTTTTCATTGGACGTTAAAAACATTCAGCTATCACCATATAAAATTTAGTAACTTTTGGTTGAGTAACACGCTCTACACAGCCTCAAACTTTTGTTGTTAATGCACTGATTTGCGGTTGGGAGTCCGGTTTTGTTTTGCTTCAAGATTTCTTCAAGATTCGATCTTTTAATCAAGATTTTTGCATAAACTAACTTGGTTTGTGTGGGAATAATGTGTGACAAAGAAGTTCCACTAGTTCCAAGGGGTTTAACCTTAGAACAAGCTCAAAATCTTAGAAGAGATAGACAAATCAACGAGTTGGCAGCAAGATTGGATGAGATATTGCAAAGACTTGATACTCGTGATGGATCTTCTTCAAAGAAGGGTAATTCTAACACTAATTCTAGTTCAAGTGAGGAAGAACAACCAAGGAGAAACCCTAGGAGGCCACGAAAGAATTATTCATCAAGTGATGATTCACCAAGACCTAGGAGAAGGGATAAACCAAAAGATGATGATAGGAACCTTAGGCTAGATCTTCCCGAATTCAATGGGAGTATGAATGAACTAGAGAAGTATTTTGAATGGATTAGAAGGGCCAAAATACTCTTTGATTACAAGGAGTATGATGAGAGGAAAAGGTGTAAGATAGTCGAATTGAAACTGACGGATATGCAAGTCTTTGGTATGATAATTTGAAGAAGAGGCATAAGGAAGGGCGAGACAAAATAACCACTTGGGAGCAACTCAAGAAGCACATGAAAAAGAGGTTCGTACCTAGTGATTATTGGTGAAGGATAATTAGGTCGTTGGACTAACTACCCTCAACCAAACAATATTTATAAACCTACACCTACACTAAACAAGTTTAGTGGTAAGTAGAGGGTCGAACCACGGAGACGACATAAACACTATCAACACCACCACCAATTAAGCTAGGTCAAAGAGATAGGATGGATAGAACAATAAACAAAAATGAGATTTATATTAAGTTAAACTAACACCAAGGGAGAGGGTCAAACATGACAATGATCTTCAATAAAGTTAGGCAATGGAAATGAGTTTACATGCAAACCAAATATCTCATATAAGGCAATACCAACAATACCATCTAACCACCTATCGGGGTCAAAGGCTTTCCCAACTTAACACATGCTCATACTATCGTCATAAGCTGTGAAAGTTAAGGTTTTTGCATAGAATCGATCACCTAATGGATATCCCTAAGTTACACTATCGTCATAACTTAGTTCAATCCACCCAATTACAACACATGATTGGCCATTCACATGGAGTAATTAGTAAAACATGGTTACAAGGTATATTTAATCACATATAACCAACATTTGTCTACCCTAATACATTCAAGATTCACCACATGCTATCACCAATCCCTTAGTAAAGGGAATTACTCACTAATCATGAAAAACTAACACAAAACCCAACAAGAAGAACAAAGAGAAGCAATTAAACTAAACAACTACTCTAATCAAGCAAGAAATTAAGAAAGAACAATAAATGAGATAGAGTTTAGAATGCTCATTGAAGTATTGAAAAGGAATCCAAAACAATGTCACTTTGCATCTTCATCTTCTTCAATCCACCATTGAAGCTCTTCACTTTCTCTCTCTAAAATACCCTAAATTACTCTTAATCTACATTGTAAAGTATAAAAACAAAGATTAAAACTAAATCTAAGCCTAATTTATGTGAAGATTGATGGAGAGATGTTAGGGTTTAACCCCTCAAAGAGGAGAGAGAAAACCCCAAAGAAACCCACCACCAAAACTTATAAAAAGAGGAGAGGAAGAAGCGTTTAAAAGACCCGTAGCTGCTCGTGCGCGCCCGCGATATTTGCCTGCGCGCCCGCGCACTGGGATTGGCCTGACAGCGACATTCATTTTCAAACGGCCATAACTTCTGTTCTAGGAGTCTTCTATGGGCGTGCAACCTACCGTTGGAAAGCTCTTTAAGTCTAGTTTCCAATGCAACTTGAATCACCTCAATCCAATTTGTAGATAAAAAGTTATGGCTAAAAGAGTGAACAAAGGTTAGTTTCGGAGTTCAGGCCCTTGAGCGCCCGCGCCTATCTTAGGAGCGCCCGCGCCTATCTTAGGCGCGCCCGCGCCTAAGCCGCGCCCAAATCGCGCCTACATTCTGCCTCCTTCAATATTTTCAACCCCAATGTTAGGCACGCCCGCGCTTGGTTTGGCGCGCCCGCGCCATTCTGAAAGCACGACCCGCGCTGTCCGTATGGCCTTGCTTGCTTGCTCCTTAACTTCCTTTGTAGCTCTTCAAATGAACTCCAATTCTCCAAGCTCTTCATTCTCTCAAAATCAACTCCAAAAGCCTATAAAACACGAGGAAAAGCACAAAAACATAATAAAGAGAGAAACGGAGCAAAAGGGGTACAAACAAGGGACAAACGTAGAAAAATACCGCGATTAGAGGATCTAAATAGTGGCATAAATGCCACTTATCAATTATATCCAAGATACTTACCTTAAGATGAAAACTTTTAAACAAAATTTAATGGCTGTTGAGAATTATATTATTGAATTTGAAAAGTTATGCATGCTATGTGGTTTAGAAGAGATTGTTGAACATAAGATTGCTCGTTTTATTTCGGGATTGAATGATAATATTGCTGAAAAAGTCGAATTACAACAATATTGGTCCTTTGAGGATGTTTGCAAGGTAGCTATAAAGGTTGAGAAACAGCTAAAGGGGAAGAAGGGCTCGTTCACTAAGCCTTTTGTAAAAGGGTTCTCAAAACCTTTTGAGAGAGTTAGTGTGGAAAAGAGTAGTTCTAGTTCGAACTACAAGGAGACAAAGCCTAAATTCGAGTCTACTAAAAAGTTTGTGGAAGGAAGGAAGTGCTTCAAGTGTGGTAGTGTTAGTCACATTGCAAGTGACTGTCCATCTAAAAGGGTCATGACGGCTCAAGAATGGGAACAAGAGCAAGCTAAATGTGAGCAAGGTAGTGACGGTGAAAAGGATGAAGAAAACTTTGAAGAAGAGGTGGAACACATGGAAGAAATTGATCCCGAGACTCAAGGTCAAAATTTGGTCCTAAGGAGAGCACTACACTAAAAACCTATGTCTATTGAAGGCAATCAAAGGGAGAAAATCTTTCTCACAAGATGCAAGGTGGAAGATAAGTTGTGTGATATGATAATTGACACGGGTAGCTGCCCTAATGTAGTGTCTACTACTTTGGTAGATAAGTTGAAATGGCCAATTATCGAGCATCCAAACCCTTAGAAGCCTCATTGGTTCAATAATTCGAGTGATGTTAAGGTGAATAAACAAGCTCTCATATCCTTTTCAATTGGTAAATTTCATGACAAAGTTTTGTGTGATGTTTGCCCTATGGATGTGTGTCATATACTATTAGGTCGTCCTTGGCAATATGATAGATTTGTGAAATTTGATGGAATGACTAATGTGTATGTTGTAAGAAAAGGAGAAAACGAGAAACCGGTTGCTTTGAAACCTTTGATAAACAATAAACCTTCTATTGCTACCTCTAATTCGAAGAGTTCCTACTTGATTAGTGAGAGAGAAGTGGAGAAAGAAATCGGCAATAACAATATGGTGTATATACTTGTTTCTAATGAGGTTCGAATTGAGAAAGATGAACAACTCAAGAGGCCGGTTGAATTGGAAGCTATTTTGAGAGAGTTCAAGGATATGTTTCCTGATGAATTACCTCCGGGACTACCTCCTATTCGTGGGATAGAACATCAAATTGACTTGATTCCGGGAGCACCATTACCTAACAAAGTAGCTTATAGAAGTAATCCAGAAGAGACAAAAGAGATGCAAAGGAAAATTGAGGAACTTATGACAAGAGGTTATGTGAGAGAGAGCATGAGTCCTTGTGCCGTGTCTACACTACTTGTTCCAAAGAAGGATAGAAGTTGGCGCATGTATATTGATAGTAGAAGTGTGAATAACATCACAATCAAGTATCGTTTTCCTATTCCAAGATTGGATGACTTACTTGATGAGTTACATGGCTCGAAATTGTTTTCAAAAATTGATCTTATGAGTGGATATCATCAAATTCGAATGAGAGAAGGAGATGAGTGGAAAACCGCATTCAAGACTAAGTTAGGGTTGTATGAATGGTTGGTGATGCCGTTTAGTCTTACAAATGCACCTAGCACGTTCATGAGATTGATGCATGAGGTTGTAACCGATGCAAGTGGAGTTGGGATTGGAGCGGTTTTATTGCAAAAGAAGCGCCCTATAGCTTACTTTAGTGAGAAATTGGGAGGAGCTCGTTTGAACTATTCTACTTATGATAAAGAGTCCTACGCTATTGTTATTTCTTTAGATCATTGGAGTCATTATCTCCGACCTAATCATTTTGTGTTGCATTCTGATCATGAGGCGTTGAAGTATATACATGGACAACAAAAGCTCAATCCTAGGCATGCTAAGTGGGTTGAATTTTTGCAATCATATAATTTATCTTCTAAGTACAAAGAAGGAAAATCAATTTCGTGGCGGATGCACTCTCTAGAAGATATACATTGCTTGGAATTTTTAATATCAAATTGCTTGGTTTCGAATTGATCAAGGAATATCACAAGGGAGATGATGATTTTTCTACACTTGTTGAAGAGTGTTCAAAGGGAGCCGTAGGTTCTTACTTGTTACAAGATGGTTTTCTTTTCAAAGGAAATTAACTTTGTCTTCCTAAGTGTTCTATTCGAGAGCTAGTTGTTAGAGAAGCTCATGGAGGTGGAATTGCTGGTCACTTTGGCATTACAAAGACTTTGAATATGTTACAAGAACACTTCTATTGGCCTAAGATGCTTGCGGATGTGCAATTAGTTGTATCTAGTTGTGCAACTTGTCAAAAGGCAAAGGATACTTTTCATTAAGGCTTGTATACACCTGATGAGTGACATTTATGTCACTCTTAGGGTAGTCTTTTCTAATAGTTTTAGTAATAATTTGGTCCATTTAAGTACGTTTTTGCTATGATTCGCCTAATTTGAGTTTTCTACCTTTGTGATGCGTAATGTGTATTCATGTGGTTTAGGTAGTCTATACTCCCCTCCCCTTTCGTTGTATTATGCTTTACCTTCATGTTCCATGATTATAGGTGTATGCAGTTGATTCGGAGATGGAAAGAACAAGGGCAAAACGGGAGAATTCCAAACCACACAAATGGTGCGGGCACGCCACCTAGATGCGCGGGCGCGCCTCCCTTGAGCGCGTGCGCGCTGATGAGCTGGACCAACCATTAAATACCCACTTTGGAGCGGGCGCGCATTTCAAGGAGAGGCCGCGCCATCATTTAACGCGTGGGCCCGCCTTTGTTGGGCGCGGGCGCGCTTGTCTGCTGCAGATTCAAATCCCGAATTCAGTCCAAACAACAAGAGGAGGAAAAAACGGCTAACATTCAACAACATTCTATCATTAGCATACTTTAGCAACATTGGTGTATGGTCAAGCTTATTGCTTGGGTGATGTATGGTTCATAATATTGCTTAGCATGATTGTAGTTGTAGTTATGGATAGTGAGTAGTTACTTGTTGCTAGGGGTTTGCTGAAGGTATGCTTTGAGTTTGATGTATGTTAGGCTAGATTAATTTGGAATATTTGTGATTAAATCTTCCTTGTGCTTATACTTATTGGCCACTCCATGTTTATGGCCATATTCATGTTGTGGTTGAGTAACTTGAACTAAATCATGACGATAGTGTGATTTAGGAATAGTTATTAGGTGATTGATATTGCATGACCTTAGTTTGTATGCCTTACGACGATAGTGTAAATGTATGCTAGCTAGGAAAGCTCTTAATCCCGATAGGTGATTAGAGAGTATTCTCGATATTGCCTTGTATGAGTTGCTTGGTTTGCATGTAAACCTATTTCCCGATGCCTAACATTGTTGAGTTCATAGCATGTTTGATCCTTTCCCCCTAGTGCTTGTTTTAATTGTTATCAAGAATATCAAGAATACTCTCTAATCACCTATCGGGATTAAGAGCTTTCCTAGCTAGCATACACTCACACTATCGTCGTAAGGCATACAAGCTAAGGTCATGCAATAATCAATCACCTAATGACTATTCCTAAGTCGCACTATCGTCACGATTTAGTTCACGTCATTCAACCACAACATGCATATGGCCATAAACATGGAGTGGCTAATAAGTATAAGCACAAGGAAGATTTAATCACAAATATTCCAAATTAACCTAGCCTAGCATACATCAAACTCAAAGCATATCTTCACCAAACCCCTAGCAACAAGAAACTACTCACTAGTCATAACTACAACTACAATCATACTAAGCAACATTATCACCAATGAAATAGTAAGAAAGACAAAGTTTTTATCAACTAAACTAACAAAGGTAGAAACTTTAATCATAAAAACAAGAGAAAATAGAGAAATATACCAAAACCTTCATTGAAATCCAAATAAAGAGCCATACATCATTCAATCTCCAAGCTTGACCATACATCAATGTTGCAAAATTACTTCTTCAAAAACTAAGAGTAAAACTAATGTTGATAGACAATGAAAATTACCTAAAAACTATCAAGATTGTTCAATACAAAAGTGGCCAAAACAAAAACCTAGAAAAATTCATTAAAAGCTCTCCTCTAAGGTTTCTATGCTAAAATAATATCCCTATGATAGAATGTTCTCCCTAGTTATCCGTTTTGCCTCCCCTCCTTTGTTAATTTGGGCTGAAATCGGGATTTGAATCAGCAGCAGACAGGCGCGCCCGCGCTTTAAATGATGGCGCGGCCGCTCCTAGAAATGCGCGCCCGCTCCAAAGTGGGTATTTAATGGTTGGTCCAGCTCATCAACGCGCCCGCGCTCAAGGGATGCGCGCCCGCGCCTATAGGTGGCGCGCCCGCGCCTGTAGGTGGCGCGCCCGCGCCATTTGCCTGGTGTGGATTTCTTCCCGTTTTGCCCTTGTTCCTTCCATCTCCGAATCAACGACATACACCTGCAATCATAAAACAGGAAAGCAAGGCGTAATACAACAAAAGGGGAGGGGAGCATAGACTACCTAAATCATATGAGTACACATTACGCGCCACAAAGGTAGAATACTCGAACTAGGCGGATCATAGCAAAAACATACTAAAATGGACCGAATTATTACTAAAACTACTAGAAAAGACTGTCCTAAGAGCGACATAAATGTCACTCATCATCGACCCTTGACTTGCCTCTATACTCGTTTAGTTGCATGTTTAGGACTACAAATATCATTTGATAGAGGTATCTTAGTAACGACCTAAAATACCACCTGTCAAATTGGCGCCGTTACCGGGGAAACGGTTTCCATTGTGTGTTTGTTTTCTTGTTGAGACTAGTTCATCTGTTCCTTTCTTTCTTTTTTCCGTATCTTGTCAGTGTTCACTTTATATATGCACATGAGGCATAATTGCTCTAGGATTTTGGTGTCATTAGACCCCGAGCTAGAGCGCACTCTGGCCTAGTTGAGGAGACAAGCAAGGGAGAGAGGTGAAGACCCACTTCAAGAAGAAGTGAGAAGTTCCCCTACCCCATCTTCACCCACTTCAAGTGAGGAGAGTGAACCATATACAAGCTCAATTCCCAACCCATTTGCAAATAGCCATAATCAACAAAACATGGGTGATCAAAGGTCACTTAAACAACTTGGAGCACCCGAACCATATGCCTCCCAAAGTGGGATTCTAGCTCCCACCACTCAAGCAAACAATTTCGAGATAAAGCCTAATTTCATTTCAATGATAGAGAAGAGGCAATTTACCGGTGGAAAATTTGAGAATCCCCATGAGCATATCAAAGAGTTTCTCAAGTATTGTGACACTATCAAGATTAACGGAGTCTCCCAAGAGTACATTAGATTGAAGATGTTCCCGTTCTAACTCATGGGAGCGGCGGAACATTGGTTGAACAAGGATGTTCCTCCCGGTTCTCTCTCAACTTGGAATGAGGTAACTACGACGTTTCTAGGAAGGTTTTACAATTACAAGAAAACCGCCGAGGCTCGCTCAAAGATACAAAGTTTCCGCCAAAGAGGTGGAGAGTCTCTTTGTGAGGCATGGGAGAGATTCAAAGAGTTACAAAGGCAATGCCCACACCATGGGATTCCTAATTGGCAAGTTCTCCAAGCATTATATGGAGGACTCTCCCCTCAAAGCAAGACTAGCCTTGATGCCGGAGCCGGAGGCCCAATCATGAACAAAAGGGAAGATGAAGTGGAGAGTATCATAAAAGATGTTGTGCGTAATTATGAGGATTGGTACGAAGGTGAGAGGGAAGCCACTTCTAGAAAAGATACGGTGCAATCCATAGAGCAAACAAATGCAATCACCAACCTTTCGAACCAAATGGCCAAAATGGCTAAGAAAATGGAAGAGTTTATGAAGACAAATTCTCAAAGTTCCTCCCCTTCTACCAAGGGAGGCCATGGTATGAGCCCCTGTACTTCTTCTCCTTCTAATTACAATGCTATGCCTCCCGGTTGTATGTTTTGTGATATATGTGGAAGCTATGATCATAATTCTCAACAATGTATGTCCATAAGTGAAGGTCCCCCTCCCCATGAAAATGATGATAATGTTGAAGATGTTAAAGCCATGAATTTTGTGCCCCGTGAGGGAAATGTTGGAATGCGACCAAATTGGAATCAAAACCAAAACCGTGGTTGGAATCAAAACCAAGGTTGGAATCAAAATCAATGGAATCAAAGTGGTGGTGGTTATGATAACCAAGGCTAAGGTAGGGGAAACTCTTCCAATTACAATGGAAGAAGTTACTCAAACCAAAGGCCCAATTGGAATCAAAACCAACAACACTATCCCAACAACCAATAACGTTTTAATTCCAATCAGGGTTCTAAAAATGGAAGGCCTCAAAATAGACCTCCCGGTTTTGAGCAAGTGAGATCGCAAGCCCAAAATTCCAACACACCTCCTCCTCAAATGGAAGCCGCTCCGGATTCTATGATGGGCGTGCTTCAAGCATTTATCAAGAATCAAGAGAGCTTTAACAAAATCCAAGAGGAGGAAAAGAAGCAAATCAAGGCGCATATGAAAATGCTAGAGACCCAAATCTCTCAAATAGCCCAACCTAGTTCTTCATCCTCCCCTTCTTCCTCTTCCTCTTTTCCTAGTCAAGGTGTCAACCCCAAACCTATGTATGCTATCACTACTAGGAGCGGGAATGTCCTTGAGAGTGAGTTAAATGATGAGAAGAGTTCCAATGTGAGGATAGAACTAGAAGATGAGGATGAGCCACCTAAAGAGAGTGAGGTCCTTGAAAAAGAAAATGAGAGGGCTGAGAAGCAAAAAGAGAAGGAGCCAACAAAAGAGAGTGACAAAGATCAAACACCTTTGCCCCTAAATCGACAACCTAGGAATGAGAAATTTCCATTTCCCCAAAGGTTTGCTAGGTCTAGGCCTGATGCCCAATTTGGAAAGTTCTTAGAAGTAGTCAAAGGTTTGCATGTTTCGATACTTTTTATGGATGCCATGAAGGAGATGCCCCACTACTCTAAGTTCATAAAAGACCTATTGAATGGGAAGAGAAAAGTTGAAACCATAAACAT